TATATTTGTCAGGGTTCTCAAGAGAAACAGAACCCCTATTTATATAAATATAATACACATGAGATTTATTTATTTATTCATTTTAGGGTATTGGCTCACATGATTTTGGAAATTGGCAAGTCTGAAATCTACAAAGCAGGTTGGCAGGATGGCCAGAGAAGAGTTGATACTGTAGTCCCATGTTCAAAGGCAGTCCAAAGGTAGAATTCCTTCTTCCTGTCCCCACAACTCTGAGCTCTGTAGGGTTGCAGGTCATAATCACCAAAGGGCAAACAGTTCTGCCACAAAACTCAGCAAAAATCACATTGAACTATAAACTATGGATGCTTCCTGGACACTGCAGGATTCTTTTGTTCAGGAAATAGCCTGAATAACCATCTGTTGTCACCATTCTACAGACATGGGATAGACCCCTGCCCCAAATTGTGTTCAGGTGTCAAGACTGGTGATGCCACACACACACCAAGAGAATGTTAAAGTGTTAATATTTACATAATGAGGCTTTTTCAGGAAAGCAGGGCAAGCTACCTAAGCTGGTCCAAAAATGGCTTGAGAAATCAGGGAAAGGAAACTGACTTGGGGTTTTTATGGTGATTAGGGGATGGGAAGTCCTTTATGCAGGTGGAGGCTTGCATGGTTTGAACCTCCCACTGGCACCAAAGAAAGGAACATCTTGACTTTCTTATCATTTTTCCAGATGTGGAGGAAAAGGGGAAGAAAAAGAGATGAGGCTTAAAAGATGTCAGCAGTCAAACATCAAAAAATGGTGTCAAACTCTTTATTACACCATGTGCACAGGGGGAATTAACCTTGGTCATCAGGAGGAAGAAATGTCGCTATATGATGGAGACAAGCTAAATATGCTTGGCTCCCAAGCAATCCACATAGGGGTCTCTTCGTACTCTTCTGCCCAATTTTGGTAGGAAATGGACATTAGCAATAACTTTGGCCAGAGAAGAGCATGGTAACCAGGCTTTGTCAGGGCTGAGGGTCTCAGTCTACACAGACCAGGTGAGAGGAAGGGGAATCTAGAATGGATAGCGGGAAACACTGGAGGATCTTCTTTCTGGACTTAAAGGAAAAAGTAGATTTTAGCAGCATAAGGAGTAGATATTATTGGACATGGAGGTGCACCATACAAATTTCTTTTCAAGAAAGGACTTATTCCAGATTCTAGGGGTCTTATCAGTATAAAGTCTTCATCTTTTAGTCCCTTTAAAGACAGCCTCAGTTGCAGAAAGACATCTGGCCCATATCCAATGACTGATTGATGTGGGTGTGTAAAGGCCCAACCATTACATCAATCCCAAGTATACTCTCTAATAAACATTCTGTACTATAAACTCTGTTTCAGAGTCTGCTTCCCAGAGAATATAACCTGCAACATCCCCACTACTGCTATCAATTTCTGTATTACTTGGGATAAGGCTAGTGTTATGGACTGAATGCGTGTGCCCCCTCCCAATTCATATGCTGCAACCCTAAACACCAGTGTGGCTATATTTGGAATGAGGAAATAATTAAGGTTAAACAAGGTCATAAGCGTGAGGCCCCAATCTGGTAAGATTCATATCCTTGCAAAAAGAGATACCTGAGAGCTTACTCTTTCTCTCTTTCTGTCTCTCTCTCTCTCTCTCTACACACACACACACACACACACACACACACACACACACACACGAGGAAAGGGCATGTGAGGGCATAGCATGGAGGTTGCAACCAGGAAGAGAACTCACACCAGAAATGAAATTTGCCAGGGTCTTGATCATAGACTTCTAGCCTCCAAAATTGTGAAAAAATAAATTTCTCTCTTTTAAGCCAATCAGTTTGTGGAGTTTTGTTATGGCAGCCTGATCAAACTAATAGCCAGGCTGCTTAGTAAATGGACTCAGCAATAAATCAGATTCTTGAAGAAGATAGAAGTTTATTTCTCCTCACCCAATCATCTGGAATAAACATCTTAGGTCAGTGGGCAGTTCTCCTTCATGAAAGTATTTAGATATCAAGGTCTCTTCCATCCCATTTTTCTGCCAAGGCAGGTATTTTAACCTACAGTCCATAGAACCTTCAAGGAAGTCTGAATATCTATAAATCCTTAGAGGATCAATAAATTTGTTTATGAAAACCTTCATCTTGGGACACCTGGGTGGCTCAGTCAGTTAAGTGTCTGCCTTCGGTCAGGTCATGATCTTGAGGTCCTGGGATCGAGTCCCACATTGGGCTCCTTGCTCAGCAGGGAGCCTGCTTCTCCCTCTGCCTGCTGCTCCCCCTGCTTGTGCTTTCTGTCTCTCTCTCACACACAAAAATAAATAAATTCTTTAAGAAAAAAGAAAAGAAAAACTTCATCTCAATTTTACCAACTTCCAACCATAATCTAGCATTTTATTCATTTATGAATGTGGGCCACAAGCCAAAGTAGTGGCAGCTGTACCTGTAATTCTGTCACATGTAAAATTCACATAATTTCAAAGTATATTAGTGTCTAAGATATCTTGAAATATCTTGAATATTATTTTGGAAGTAATGTATTTATTACAACTGTCACAAGATCTTATTAATATGTTGTGGAAACACACATATCTGTAATATTAATTGTATTATTTTAAAATGTATTTATTTCAATATTACTGATGGCCTTTGTAATCCTAAATTTTTTTGGCATTTAAAATATTATTCCAAAAAGAGGCACATATATTACACTAGACTGCCAAAGAACTCTTCATCTGCTTGGTGGCCAAATTGAATCATAAGTCCACAATCCAGATCAAAGGAGATAGAACATGAAGGAGGTACCCAACTCTTGTAATGTCCTAGTCAGTAAATGTCACACATCACTTACACTCATGTTCCATCAGTGAGGACTTAGCTTTATGGCTACACCTAGCTGCAAGGGTGGCTAGGAAATATAGTATATCAGGGAAGTCATGTGATTCTATCCTAATAGAAAATGGTAAATAAAGTTGGTAAATTCCATACAATCCATAACATTACCTTCTTGTACTTCATTCTTCAATAAGTTTTCTTCTTTTGTTTTAAAACTTTATCCATAGATTCTGTTAGTTTTTCTGTGTAGACAGGTTTGTTTTCTCCTTTCTATCTCATCCTTTGTAATCTTTATTTCTTTTTCTTGTCTTGTTGCATTGACTAAGACCTCCAGAAAAATTATAAATAGAAGCAATACTATAGAGAATTCTTGTCTTGATTCCAGTTTAGTAGAAATTCTGCTAAGAACTTTAACTATTAAGTGAGATATTTCCTACAGGTATTTTATGGATAACCTTTATGAGGTTGAAGAATTTATCTTCTATTCCTAGTTTGCTATAGAGAGCTGAGATTTATTAAGTGAAGAGTGGTAGTCCTTCATGAAATGGTAGGCCACAGGAATGAATGATTTGAATGAGGTTTAGTTTCTAATGAGATACATAAATTACTTGAAGGATGGTGTCTTGGTAATTCCTGACTTCACTTGATATTTCTTTCTCCCAGAGTAACCTCTGATTAAACACATTTTGGAAAATTTAAGAAGGGGCTGGTATGGCATTTACTCTGGCCTCTGGAGGTAGGGCCTGAACTAGGGAACATGAATCTGCAAACCAAGAGACCCACACTACAACCTTGGTTCTGATCCAGGTCACTGTCTCATGTTGACCAACAGGAATAACAACTAATATTTACAAGAATTTTTATCAGGTGCCTGGCTCTGTGATGAGCACATTACATATGTTGCTGCATGGAATGTTCACAAAATCCTGACATGGATATTATGTGTTTCCATTTTACAGATGAGGAAAATAAGGTGTAGGGTTTAAGTATCTTTTCCAAGATTACAAAACAGTGTAAGTAGCAGAGCCAATTGCTGTGTAATTTCAGTGAAACTAAACTCCATGTTAGCAATAAGTTTTCTGTACCACAAGTTGCTTTCCCTCTCTGGGCTTTCAATTGCTTATCCACAAAAATCAATATGTAAACTATACCAGGAGTAAGCAAATCTCCATGCAAATGGGTCTAATAAGAAAACACTAGAATGTTTGTGGGCTACATGCTTTTCTAAACATAATTATTTATTTTGGCCTGGAAGCACAGTATCTGCAAAAGCACTTGTGCATTTGTTATTATTTCTCTGCTGCTGAAGAGTTTCACCTTAGGGCTAGAATTTCAGACACTACATCATTAACACTAACTGTGCCATTTATGCATATTGAATTCTAATACTGGGGCTTTGAATACATATTGTCTAAGATGAAATCTAGTTTGGTGAGGAGGGGTGAGATGGCCTACACAGGTAAGGGGAAGAATCTGGGGATAGGGAAGTATCAAATTTCAGTAAGAATCAAGACAAAAAGAAAGACTAACCAGGAGATTTGCACTTGAGCAAGTGAGACAGGGATGCAATATTTGGAAAGGAGTCTGATTAGGATACAGAAGATGAAGGCTATGAGCTATGGTATGAATGAATGACTTTCTTTTTCCAATCCAAGTTTATAAATTAACAAAAAGGAAACACTTGGGGGGGAGGTGGGTTTGTACAGGGAAATTTATCTGTCTCTTTTTCTCTTTTGTCCCATACTTGTTAGGTCAAAAATGTCAGATCCCTAGCAGTAGCTGTCAGTCTGTTACTCAGCCCTGGAGTGGAAGCACCATTTTACAACCCAACAATGGCAGTTCTAGCAAGAATCATTATTAGAATCTTGTTAGAATAATGGGGTATGAGGGTCTGCCTGAATTTGAACTATTCTTCAGAGGGCAGAAGAGGATGCACTTGCCAGCTCAGTCAAATTCCTTGGAGCTAACTAACTTGTGGGGTTGTAGAGGGCAGGCATTTTGACAAAGAGGAATGCACTGACATGGTATCTTTTTGTGCTTTGGGTAATGAGTCATTCATTGACTATCTGAATATTTGGTTATAGGAGTGACCTCTTTCACACCCAATGCAGTTGGGATAGGGTCCAATCTTCATCCCTGCATAAAGGAAAGCACGTCCAAGCCCGTATTGATCACATCAAGCCATACTATTTATTTATTTCTTATTGCAACAAGCACATGCAATTACCCAACAGCTTATTTCCCAATTATACTTCCATTGGGTCCACAACTTTCCCTAGAAAGAGAATGCTCCTGGTGCTTTTCTCCAAAATCAACAGCAGAAAGGATCTATCAAATTGGATGATAGGGTGAAGGAGAGTTATCTCAGGCTGAACCAGGAATCTGACTTCAGGGACAACTACAGCTTCAGTTCCCCTTTCACCAATGTGCAGCACAGCCTTGTGGGCAGCCTGTGAGGAGGGGAAGAACAAACACTGCTGATCCCAAGTAACAGAAAAAGTCTTTGGAACAGTTTGGAAGCAGGAAAGGAAAAGGAAAGACAGGGCTACCCCTTTATCACACTGTTAATGGTGCTTGAATATGAAGGCTACTTGGCTAAGTGTAGTCACTCAGTATGGTGATTTTAGAGCTAGCTGTCAGGGAGCCACCAATTTTTCCATGGCTTTCTGCCTCTAGAAATCACATTTTATGCTTTTCTCTTCCCCCGCCACCTCCTCCAGAGCTCTATCTCACCAGAATTAATTCTCATCATTAAGGTCTTCTATCAGAATTGTTTTAGGACATGAAGGTAAGGATGGAATTAACTGTCACAGTGACTTGTTGGGGGTAATGAGAATGACTGTAGAGTCAATCTGGCATAGGAAGAGTCATTCTGCCTCTCTGGGTTTCAAAATCTTCATTAATTAAATGAGAGAATTGAATGAACTGACTCTTAATGGCCTTTCCAGTTCATACATTCAAGGAACTCCAATCTATCAACTTACACTGGAAAATTTAAGACCATTGTCCCCCATAAGTCCAAGAAAATTGGCATTATCAGCAAAGGCATCCTGGATGCCCATCTTCAGAAAGATGGCTCCAAGGTCATATGTGGCAGAAATGGAAAACTTTGGAACAAACAAGTCAATCCACCTGTAGGGGAAAGGGAGAGGTAACACATGGTTATCAGCACACCAAGCTCATGATTCCTTTCCTGTTTGTCACCGTTGTATTATATAAGGCTCTGCTTCTCCCCTAGGTTTTGTCAACAATTGCTATTCAGGTCAACACATGGTGTCAGCACCTCAGAATTTATCCTGAAATAAATGAACTCTATTTCCACCAATATTGGACTATAGCACTGGAAGTAGGGAGTTGTGTCTCATTTATAGTAAAAAAAGAAACATCTCTGGGGTGTTGGCCAAGGTTGGGGAGTCAACAACATGAATGTCAGTTGGTAGCACCTGGAAATGTCCATGGTTTTCCATTTAACACTCCCAGCCAATATGGCTGCTCATCTACTTCTTAATGTCAAAATCCTACCAACCCCTAAGCTCTAACTGGCTTCTAGGAAGACATCAATTTAGTAGCTGACTGGCTTTGGAGAGTTCATTTTCTCTTTCTAGCCCTGACTCTTCACTTGAAAAAATCCCTATGTTACTATCTTCTTTGCAGGTTTGTTGATGTGCTTAAATGAAATGAAGTAGTGAAGTATGTAAAGTGCTTGGCAAAGGGACTGACACAGAGTATGATCTAGGTATACTTTAGTAGTCATCACACAGCTATTAAGTGGTTTGGGGTAATTCTCCCGCCTCTGAGCTTCTGCTGAACTCTGTCTCACCTGTAATATGCCCACCCTCTACTTCTCACACCATCTAAGATGTTTACCCCTTCTGCAGTAAGCGGTTCCACTTCTTCAGTGTTTTAGATGACATGGACCCTTCCACCCACTCCATCTGACCCTCTTTGGGAAGGACAAAGAGTGCCAGAGCATTCTTGCTGTAGTCCATTTGAAGCACTGTGCAGTTCAGCTCCGTATCCACCAGGTGATAGTATTGTTCCATCTGGTGCATCATGGGCACTTGCACTGTTGTGGTTTTGTCCACTGAGAAGCTGGAACCCTCTTCTGTCTTGAATGGATCAAAAGGATTTGCCCACTGGGCTTAAAATACAGAGAGAAAAGAGTTCTTTTTTTTTAAACCAGTATTAATGCTAGTGTGACTTTTTCCATCAGTTATCTCATTTGGTAATTAAGACCACCACAGAGGTAGATACCTACTGTCAACCAGTTTTACAAGTGAGTGAGGACCAGGGAGGGAAAGACTTTACATGGTCTCCCAGCTAGCCCATGGCAGAGCCAGGAGTCACACCCAGGACTGTTGGACTCCATGCTCAACAGTTGTTCCATCTATGTCCAAAATCACTATACTTACACTAAACCCATCAGAGCCACAGTTTCTTCTTCCCTAAAAAGGTATAAGCACACCCAACACACAGAGTGAAATGAGACAACAGATCTGTTCTGCCGTTTTATCCGTCTACAAGTGTGTGGTTTGTGGCCAAGAATTGTTCACTCCTCCACCAAACATGGCTGACATGTGCTGTAGAACCAGGAGAAATCATTTGAGCACAACACCTTCAGAAAAGAGTCACATGTTTCTTGTTGTTACAAGCATGAGCTTTAGAATCAGACAAACCTTGGTGGGAATACCAGCTCTGAAACTCATTAGCTGTGAACTTGGGCCCTTATGAGGATTAGATGAGACAATGTGTGCAAACCACACATGTAGCATGGTGCTTAGCACATAGTGGGTGCGTTGTACATGATAGAAATATTTATATAACATGCCCAAGAATGCACAGCAAGTGAGGGTCATAGTAGGGTTTAAACCCAAGTCTATTTACCTTCCAAGCACAAGCTCGTCCAACCAAATCTTTTAGAAACCATGATTCTCTAGCTAGATGTGAGCAGGATGTTCATACTATTGTCACTCACCTCTCTGAGAGTGCCCTCTCTCTAGAAATTTCCTGGGTTCATCCACAGAGCTATGTGTCCCTCCTGGAAGATCCAAAACTACACACAGCAATGTACTGTGGATCAGGTCACTGTGGTATGAGGGACACCTACTGATGCCAGTGAGAAGAGACTATGAGCTCCCCAGAGAACCCCACCAAATTATGGGAACACTGACCTAGGAATGCATATCTTAGAGCCTTACCTTTAAAGTGAATATAGTTCACCAGGACCATGATGGTGTTTGGTTTGAGGTCTTGAATGAGGCCTACAACTTTCCCTTTGGTTTGCTTCTCCACATGACTGTTGATCTCCTGCTGGGTTGCAGAAACATTGGAGAAGTCGGTAGAAAATATCTCAGTTGCATAGAGGCTCTTGACATCATCTAAGAACTGTGCCAGTGGTTTCAGCTGCTTCCCAATGAAGAAGGTATTTCCCATTTGTAATTCTAACTCTTTCTTTGGAAAATTCAGTGAACAGATCAGGTGCTGGAAGCCCTGCTGGATCTCTGCCATCAGGGTGTCTGTAAGGTTAAACCCCAAGCTTTCCAGTATTTGAGTTTGGGTGCTGTAGTAAGTCCCAAAAGAGAGCATGGCCAAAGCTGCAGAAATGCTCACAGGGGAAAAGAAGATGTTCTGGTCTGGGGTCTCCGTAGTGAACCTCCAGTACAGGTTAAATGCAAAGTCAGCATTGATGGATGACATCTTATAGAAAGTGGCATTTTGTTGGGAGGAACTGCAGGTGGTTACTTTGCCTTCAGATCTGTTAGGTGGTGCACAATGAAGTTCAAGTACCAAGAGAACCAGATAGAGGAACACTGGCATTTTGGAAGGAAGATAATCTATAAGAGATAAGGTGAGAGAACCATTGGGGGTTCTTAGCTGGAAGAAAAGCCTTAGCCAGAAACATAATAATTGTCCATCATGATTAGTAAAACAATAGAAAATATTTAATGGTGTGCTCACCAGGGGCTGTGTGGAGGCCTCTCTCCTCTGAACAACTGAAGACACATCTAATAGGGACAGAGAGTAGGAAAGGTGGCTTGCTGGGGCCATCAATGGCATGGACTGTCTTTCAAATGTACTAGCAACATATGAAAACTCTGTGAGGAAATTACATTTATGAAAAATTATTTTTTTATTTCAACCAGAGGCAACCTTTTAGAGAGGGAGGTATCCTTTGATAAAACTAGAACTCCCTCTGCTTATGTTAATTTTTGTAAATTAGAATTTTGGATTTTTTTTAATTTAGCATTTTTCTTAAAATAAAATCTTCAAGAGATTAGATGAGAGAATATCTGTACATTCCTTTGGATAACAGACAAAGGAGAATAACTTTCAAACAATATTTTGGTTGGGATGGAAGGTTTAAGGAGCCATGTACAAGATAATGAGCTGAAATTAAAACAGCAATGCACAGAAGCCAAAGAAATATTTCCAAACAACAGAAAGATGAAAGTGGAACTTTTTTGCAGTTTAGATCCCTCTCACCACCAGTATTATCTAAAGAGTTATTTCTAAATTACAAGACATCTTAACACTATTATTCTTACACTTACTCATGTTATTTTTTTATTATTAGAATAGAAGCCAAAAAATATGGTGTAGTATTCTCTGAGCCTGGAAAGGTACAAGGCAGTGGAGTAAAGATTTTGGCTGTGGAATCCAGTGACCATGGACATGAGTGATCAGAAGGAAAAGATCCATAGAGTCAGGACAGGAGTTCTTACTCAGTCCTCTAGCCTTTTCCTGAGTGATCTCATCCACTCCTACGAACTCATCTGCCACCACCCAAAACTACATACGCTAGTACAGATGACTATCCTGTGTTACCAGATATTTGTCCAACTGCCTACTGGATATAGCCACCAGAATGTTCCACACATACTTCAGTTTCAATTTGGAAATCTCAAAGTTTCCAAAGGTAAATATAACATCTCCCTAGCTCTCAAGCCTGCTCCTTCATCTTCATTCTATATCACTATCTACTGAGACTCCCATGCCAGAAGCCTCAGAGTCATCCTAGGGTCTTCCTTCATTCTTAGTACCTACATCTATTGAGTCATGATGCCTTCTGAGTACTACCTACTAAGTGTCTCTGAAAACATCTCCTTTCTCCTGCCACTGCCTCAGCTCATGGCCTGAACTACTTCACCAGCTCCTAGCAGGTCACGCTATCTCCAGTTTCTCCCACTCCAACACCCTGCTTCTATGCCTCTATCTAATCTCTACATGTCATCAGAATCCTCTCTCTGTAAAAGTTGCAGAAGCTGGTAAGAGGTCAATTATCAGATGACCACACTTAGACCTTGGCCTCTGGAGCTAGGAATTTGGAGCACATAGTTATCTGGGATTCTGACTTGCTGATAAAGATGTCCAAATTTCCCAAAGAGAGAGAAAAAAAGTACTTACAGCACATGTCCAAGAAGCTACTTGCATCTCTCAGAAAGCAAAATCTTTCCATCTTTATAACATGCCCTGTATTGCAAAAGTAGAGCACTCTTAGTTACACATTAACCCTGGAATTAACCCTGGGATGATATTTTCAAAGCTGATGCACAAAACCAAGGCCAAAAGGAACAAAGTGAAAAATGATAAAGATGGAACTTTGAATGATTGCTTTAGCTGCCAAATCCTTCATCTATAACAAAAGAGAAAGATAATTATCAGAGCTGGCAGGTCCAGATTCATGCTAGGAAATGTGTCTGTTCAGCAGGCAGGATGAAGACCATGGGCAAAACTGGCAAGAGGCAGAAGGAGGATCAAGACCGTTTTATGCATCAGGGCCAAACAGTGTTGGGATTGGCAATCTTTTAAGGGAAAGTGCATAAAGGCAGAGGCTGGATGAGCCTCTCTAACAGGTGCTATAGAAATTATTTATGCATTGGCTTGAAGGAGATGATGTCAAACGTACCTTCCAACTCTAGACTTCTGATGCTGCACACATCTATGTCTGCTCAGGGAAACCAGTCCTATCCTCTGGTCACTAAAATTCCCTGTACCATATCCTGGGTCACAGAAATAAAAGAGGATGCAGAAGGAGCCAAGGAGAGTGGAATCAAAGACTTCACTGTCCAGTATTAACTGTGTACTGAACTGTGTGCTGCAAAGAAGCAGTGGGAGCAAAAAGCACTAGACTCAGTCAGAAGACCTGAGTTCCATCTTGCCTCTGCCAGTTTCTAGGTCTGGTGGTGGTAGTAGTAGTAGTAGTAGTAGTAGTAGTAGTAGTAGTAGTAGTAACAACAACTCTTGTTTATTGAGTATTTACCATATGCAGGGCATGATGTGAAGCATCTAATTCCAGACACTGTTTCAGGACTATATTAAGGATGTGTACATGCTAAGTGAAAGCTGGGCGTTAGGGGAATAGAGACTAATTTGAGATAAGCCTAGATCACAGTCTATGGGAGGATGTGGAATCCACATTAAACAGCGCATACTTTACATTGAGAGCATTAAAAAGCCACTGGGGCATTTTAACAAGACAGCGACTAGATAGAGGATGATTTTGCTGTAACATTGTTTCTTCTCAAACATAAACAGAGTTCCTACTATGTGAAAAGTACCATAATCAGCACTGGGGTTTCAGAGGTAAATGTTAAATATCAGCACTGAACCCAAAGGATCTTTCTAACTACCCATCTGAAAAGGAAAGGGCACACCTCACATATGGGATGTCCACAGGTTCATGTGTTCCACACCAAGACAGTGGAAAGCTCAGATCTCTGGACACTGAAGTCAGTCCATGATCACTTCTGGTATAAACACATAGTATGCTCTCTCAACTATAGCCAGTCACTACAAAAGAAACAGTAAAAGACTATCCAGAAAGAAAACTTCTAAATCTGTGCCCTCTGGTGGCATAGTCAGACTATGGTAGAGCTTGTTTTCTGATGCATCTGATTCAGCTGAGCTTTGCTAGCTGGTAGTAATTACAGGATCTGTCTCTGATATATAAGAAGGGCAGCCCTGCCCTTGCAGACTCACCTGCTCTGTGCTCTAGAGTCCTATGCTTCTATCATGTCTTTGCTATGTAGTAAATGTAATTTTGGGCAAGTTTCTTAATGTCCCAGAACCTCAGTTTCTTCACCTCTATGGTGAAATGATAACAATCCCCACATCACGTGGTTATCAGCAGTACCAAGTGAAACGTAGAGGTGGTGTCTGGAAGCTCCTATACAGTGCCTGGCATATAACCAGGATTCAGCAACTATTAATTCTCTTCCCTTTCATCTACTGTTCTTGATTCTCTTCCCCCACCCAAAGTCTCCACAGCCCCCCTATACTCCACTCACCCCATTCCTAACTGCTGTTCAGTTCTGCTTTCTGGAAATACATTCTCCCTAAGGTGAAAGATCTTTTTTGAAATTTATATTTAAAACAATAATTTAAGTCTTGTGTAAAGCTGCTGAGGCTAGCACATTGAATATAGAATCTCTAGGAAGTGTAACCATATCAATAAATTCAATCAGATCTAAAATTAAGTATCTCCCTCTTTGGATTAACACCATAACAATCCATTTTCACACAACTTGCTCAGAATTTTATTTTAGAAATTCCACAGTTCAAAGTTCCATAGTTTCAGAGTTCTTTTTTTAAGAGAGAGAGATAAAACACACATGTGAGGTTTGGGGGGGTAGTGGCAGAGGGATAGGGAGAGAGAGAATTCCACGCAGCCTCCAGTCCAGTGTGGAGCCCAATGTGAGGTTTGATCCAGTAGCCAGCTTACAGAAGCTACTGCCCCCCCTTGGCTTGATCTGTCAACCCTGGGGTCATGACCTGAGCTGAAATCAAGCATCGGATGCTCAACCTACTAAGCCACCCAGGCACCCCTAGTTTCACAGTTATTTTAATGTGTAAATATTTTTCTCTTACTTTTGAGTTGATATTTGATCCTACACCCCAGTTTGGAGGTAAATGGTGGTATCTTAATCTAGTTGTAAGTCTGGAGACATTAGTGAGTGTGGGGTGGTGGCAGTAGGAAAATTGGCTTCTTCTTGCAAATTAAATTTTACAAGCAAAGAATGTACTGTGTATTTACACAAAAGAGAGCCACATTGGACAAAGAGAGGGACTGTTTCTGTAGTCAAGAGGGGCTCAATGGGTATTTTGAGCTTGAGGTATTAATTCTGTCAATTTTCCTATTCTTAAGTTCTTATTCTTTTTATTTCAGTGACTAACTGACAAATATGACCTGTCAATGCTGGGAAATAATTTAATCTGTAATTTGGTAATCCACAAGATCAAGTGCTAATTTAGCCTTCTAGCTACATTAGATAAGAAATTCTAGGTTGGCAGAATACGAGAATCCAAATTCACCTCATCCTATGGACATGCAAAGATAATAGATGAAAATGTTCCAAATCTGGGGGAAGGAAAGAGATACCCAATCAAGGAGGCACAGAGAGCTCCCAACCAAATCAACCAAAGGAGGTCCAGACCAAGATACACAGTAATTAAAATGACAATATTGTTTGTTTTTTTTTTTAAGATTTTATTTATTTATTTGACAGAGAGACAGCGAGAGAGGGAACACAAGCAGGGGGAGTGGGAGAGGGAGAAGCAGGCTTCCTGCCGAGCAGGGAGCCCGATGCGGGGCTCGATCCCAGGACCCTGAGATCATGACCCGAGCCAAAGGCAGTCGCTTAACCAACTGAGCCACCCAGGCACCCCAAAATGACAATATTGTTAAAAGTACATACTATCCAAAACAAACTAAAAATTTAATGCAATTCCTATCAAAATATCAACAGCATTTTTCACAGAACTAGGACAAAAAATCCTAGAATTTATACAGAACCACAAAAGACCCTGAACACCCAAAGCAATCAGGAGAGAGAAAAACAAACCTGAAGGTATCACAATTCCAGATTTCAAGTTATACTCCAAAGCTTTAGTAATCAAAACAGTATGGTACTGGCACAAAATAGACACATAGATCAATAGAACAGAAGAGAAACCCCAGAAATAACCCACACCTATATGGTTAATTAATCCTTGACAAAACAGGAAAGAATATCCAATGGGGAAAAGACAGTCTCTTCAATAAATGGTGTTGGAAAAACTGGACAGCTATATGCAAAAAAAAAAAAAAAATGAAGCTGGACCATTTTCTTATACCATACAGAAAAATAAATCCAAAATGGATAAAAGACCTAAATGTGAGACATGAAACCATAAAAATCTTAGAGGAGAATACATGCAGTAACCTCTTTGACATCAGTTGTAACCACTTCTTTCTAGATATGTCTCCTGAGGCAAGGGAAACAAAAGCAAAAATAAACTACTGGGACTACATCAAAATCAAAAGCTTTTGCACAACGAAGGGGACAATCAACAAAACTAAAAGGCAACCAGTGGAATGGGAGAAGATATTTGTTTTGGATGCTAACCCTGATAAAGGGTTATGATGTAACTAGGGTATCATTTCTCTAACTTGACAGATGATAAAATCGAGGCCTAGAAATGGCAAGGAACACAGCAAGGTCACATCAGGAAGACATTTATCAAACCAACATGAGACCTCAGACTGGGATTGTGACTCACTTTTATTGTCTTTTTGAAGGAGTTGGATTAGAAGATTTCTACATTTCATTCCAAATTGAAACCAATGATTTATGGCAATATTACACTCCCTTCCTTTGTAAGACCAGAGTAAAGTTAAAATCATTGATATCTGGTAGGAGTGATGAAGGGAACATATCAATAATTATTTTCTAAAATGTGGTATTTTGAAAATAATTTACTATCCTTTTTTTGCAAAAAAAATTTTTCCATTAAAAACATTTTACTTTTCAAAATAAGAATGAAACAGTGTTTTACTTCTCCATAATTTTAAGAATTATTTACATTTGAGGTTTTGGCTTAGTGGGGCTGAAAGCAACAGAAAGTCTGAGACTGTTTGCTCAGAAATCACCATAGGAAGACTGCCCTTTTCAATATCTGTCATGGTTACCTTTAGAGAAATAGCCCTTCTCTTTTTACTCATTCTTTAGAGGCTCAGTGTGAATTTGACAATGTTTATGGTGAATAATCCTTTTAATGTACTATTGGATCCTATTGGCTAGTATCTTGGTGAGAATTTTTGCATCCATGTTCATCAGGGATATTGTTCTGTATTTCTCCTTTTTGGTGGGGTCCTTGTCTGGTTTTGGGATTAAGGTAATGCTGGCCTCATAAAATGAGTTTAGAAGTTTTCCTTCCATTTCTGCTTTTTTGAACAGTTTTGGTAGAATAGGTATTAATTCTTCTTTAAATGTTTGGTAGAATTCCCCTGGGAAGCCATCTGGCCCTGGGCTCTTGTTTGTTGGGAGATTTTTGATTACTGCTTCAATTTCCTTGCTGGTTATGGGTTCTGCTCAGGTTTTCTATTTCTTCATGTTTCAGTTTTGGTAGTTTATGTTTCTAGGAATGCATCCATTTCTTCCAGATTGCCTAATTTGTTGGCATATAGT